ACTAGAAATGGGAAGAATACATCCAGTATAAGCACACCTGTGTATGTATGCTCACAGAGAATCAGTCACCTGACATCATACCAGACATGAAATACCCACTTTTTTGCAGTTCTGCATTGACTAAAACCGAGTTGCTGTGATCTCAAGAGAATCTTGAAGGTCTGAGCTTGTGATATGTGGTGGTGCAAATCCATCAGATTTCCTTAGCTCAACCTCCCAGTTTTCTGGGCTGCTTTTTCTCTGCCTAAAACTGTCTTGTGCCAAGCATTCATGTGGACATCTGGCAGGAAGGCTGCATCTGGCTTGCACACATGCTGCCTACATGCCAATCATGCAAGTGGAGTGCTGCTTCTACAAACATGACTTGTGGGCTTTGTCTTCTTGGCATACTTTGCACAAAGTATTACATACTTTGAGGAAAGAAGCCACTAGATCTCAGCTTGGCACACTTCCTGGCCAGAGTTGAACCCAGGAAAGTAGTCTGGCAGGTGCAGCATGATCTTCACATCCTTAGTCTGAGCTTCTAGGGCATTGAATTTAATTCAAAATGAGCCCAATTATTCACGGACCACATTTAGAAACATCCTAGCTATCAACTGTCAACACAAAGGAACCAGGATCACACACTGTGCTTGCCCTTGGTTGGAAAGCATTCAGAGTGACCAGGAGATCTGAATTCAAAATAAACAAATGTCTATGAATAAACTTTTCTGTGCATTTCCATCTTCTATATTGATACAAGTTCAGTCTGCGTATTATTATTGCGACCTTCCAATGAGAACATGCCCAAAAATGATTTTGGGAGGAAAAAATAGTATGACAGTGATCAGTAACAGTGCGGGGGGGGGGGGGGACGTAGAACCTATTTTGAAAAAAATATGCCACAGCCACTCTTGAGCAAATTAATAATAATCCTGTAACTGATAGTAATGATAGCATTACCTGTGAACTGCCCATCTACAATGATTGTTCCCAAAGCTTGATTTCTTACAGCAATTATATGGTGCCAACTGTTATCATTATATTGTCTCCCACCATCATTATCTGGAGTTAGTGAAACAGCAGATCCCTTTTAAAAGATATTTAAATGATTAATAAAAATGTAACTGGTTAAGTCACTGAGTCATTGTTATATCAGCCTTCAAATACATGGGTAACTTCAGTTCAAAAAGAAATTAGAATATCCTGCAGCCATAAAGATTCCTTTTGATGCTGCAGCACAGTAGAGCCATTTACAATTAAACTTTTCAACTCTGCATACAAGTGATAAATTTTCAGTCCACACAACCTCATTGTACACAGCTTCATTTAAAAGCATTAGTGCTACTGAGTTGACTTCAAACGGTTCCAGAAAAAGCAGAAATGATTGCCAGTTCGCCCCGTGACCCACAGAGACAGTGCCATCCTCCCATAGCCTCACTGTTTCTGGGTTCATCATTAAGCCTGGCTTAAAGTTGTTGGCTGAAGTCTCAGGGCTGGTCTGTGGTCATGTCAAAGGCAAGCCAGTAGTCAGAAATGAGGGAATGTAAGATGAAGCCGGTGTTTAAAACTGGAGAGCAGATCAGGACCATAGGACAAACCAGGGTGCAGGGTTAAAAAACAAGCCAGCTATCAGGAACACTGGACATGTCAGGAGGCCGAAGCAAGGAGCAAGACAAAGAGGATACAGAAACATGCCAGAGGACAAAGCCCTCATCACTGAGCAAGGTACAGCTGAAACCAAGGCCTGGTTACAGGCCTTCTTGACCACAAGGGGACAGCAGCCTGCTTGAATGAGTCAGTGCAGAACCTGAAGTCACTAAGCAGATACAGCAGCACACAGGTGAGTGGCTCAGCATGCATGGCAGCTGAGCTCAGACCAAAGGTGTTCAATGTAAGCCAGAGCAGCTTCCAATACACAAGTACCATATGCAAACCCTTTTTATCATATGAAGACCTAGTGGGAAGTACTGATGCATTCTTATATTCTTCCTCTCCCTCACATAAATGCACACACGACAAAACTGGCAGAGCATACCACATATTTCAGTGAGTATAGTCAGATCAGATGCCAATACAGACCAAAGGCACAAGAGCCAGGTGCTTCATACAGCACAGGTAAGGTGCATTTTCAGAAGTGCATTTGATTAATCAGAAGTGTTGATGGGGTGGAAGATGAAGCAGCAACCTAGCAGGACTAAGTAACCAGGAGTCAATCCTGTCCATCCATCTCCGGGCTCCAAAATCTATCTGACCTTCCTCTTGGCTTCTGGTCACAGTTCAAGAGTGGTTGGTTTTGAACCATATTAGATTATTTGTATCTAAGGACACAATCCTATGCATGTTCAGACTGAAAGAAAAGGCCCTACAGTTATGGAATGCTAGGCTTTTTTCGGTCTAAACATATATAGGATTATGTCCTCATTTGCTTAAGATGACTATCTTCCCTACTTTCTATCTCCAGACATATTCATCTGTTACTAATGCGGTTTTCCTTTAGGCACCTGATTAAAAACTGCTCTGTTCTCCCAAGCATTTAAAATAATATTGCCTTTTCAATTTTAATTTCTCTTTATGACTGTGCTTCTATTTGTTTATGGTGTTTATGAATTTATTCAATTTGTTTTGATTTTTTAAAAAAGTTTGCATTGTTTGAAAGGTCAAATATGAACCATATTAGTTATGTATATATTACATTTATATCCCAACTTTTTTTCCTCCTGCAAGAAATGCAAGCTGGCCCTTGAAAATTTTTCAATGGAAAGCCAGGGGAGGATTGAGGATGATGATGGATATTCTTTTGGCACTATTAATGCCCATGGAAAATTGAGAAAGTATCAACAAACCAGAAATGCTCTGTTCAACAAAGTATCCCTTCCACTGTGGCACTTGCGTGCTCTGTGTGCATGCATGTGTGTGCATCAGCTTTATAAAAGAAACCAGAGGGAAAGAACAGATCTGAAGATCTGTGTAAGCCGTTGTGGCAAATCTGTACATTCTCAGCAGTGACATTATTCAGTTTTGAACAGGTTAGCGTGTTTAATATTTTTATTTTTGCAGTAAGAAAATGAGCCCAAAGTTGAATGAATTTCACAATTCTTTAAGACCTTTTTTAAGCATCAGGTTGTTCTCTATGTAAAGGCAATGGCTTGGATCCAAAGTAATTCTTTTATTCAGGTAAGGGGAAGGAGACATTCCTGCTAACCCCGCATCCCTCTGCACCTAGTCCCATATTATTCCCAGGAGTCTGCAGTTCTTAGGAGCAGATTAGGGAACTGCAGGGGCTCCACTGGGCAAAGTGGAGGGAACAGAAATCCTCACTCTGTGCACATGAACTTCATTCCATTCACAGAATGAATGTTAGACTCAGTTTTGTAGAGAGTAGCTTTAGTTCTTTAGTATGCTCATCTGAGTATGCTTCCCTTTATGTCTATAAGTTTTTAGTGCTTTGCTTCCCCATGCACTCAGATAGGAAGTCCATGGAATAATCTGTTTTTCCAAACACCCTCTACATACCTGGACATCTTGCCTCCTACCTTCCTGACAACAGTTTCACAAACTGCTGCTCATTATAGTGAAAAGAATAGCTCATGCATGGTTATTAGTTATGAAGTTGTAGGCATGGAATCAAAATAAGAATCCTATTGAGATATGGGGTTGGAGAGATCTGCAGTTATATTCCAGTGGGTCTTCTCATGTGCATATATTTATTCAGATCCAGTTTATTCCCCACTCCACTGAGTTTGCATAGGATCTTGCCCACCCATTATTATTGTTGTAATTATAATTATAATTATTAATGATGATGATGATATTTCTGGCAAAAGGTAAATCAGATAGAATTGGAGAAAAGGAAGATTCAGGTAACTGTTTGTACCATTCATACTTACACTGGAAATTTAACCTGTCAGATTAGCATAGCAGCTCTACTTCTCAGCAGAGCTGAAGAAGTAAGAGCAAAATTTCAACTTCTCTTTCCTTCCTCCCAAAGTTCTTTCTGCAGCTTTGAATATAGGAATGTAAGATGGGGGATACAGAAACATTAGCAAAGCCTCATTCTGCATCCAAAGACAGAAAAATCAATACCATTTTTTGACACTAATTGCACCCTTTTTCAAATACTCTGCAGATTATTTATGGAAAGCTCTTTATATTGCCATGCCTAGCAGCTTGAGGATGAGTGCATTGTCAAAAATGGATGTAGGATCTGTATTTGGATAAACAAAGGATGGTCATTGGAAAATAATCGGTCCAGTCCTTAAAGAAACATTCATACATCAGAACAGGGCATAGGATTGCACTTGAATGGAAGCATTTCTGTTATAATTTGCATGTAAGAACTGCAGATAAAACCAAAATTTTCTTTAATCACAATTTTCTCTATTGGCATTAAAATAAATGTCTCTAAACACATGCATAAATGTAAACTATTACATGAGAGTAATTATTTTAGTGAACTGAATGTGTAACGACCTGGCAAATGAACTCTATGAATTTCAGATTTTAAGGAAGCAAAGTAGAAGCAGGCGCACAACTGAAAATCACCATCTCCACTTCAGGCATTCGTTCTAGTGAGGAGAAAGTGTTTCCAGGGGACTCCTGTTTTAGAGTTTGTTCTTTAAGAAAAAGTACAATAAAATACATTATCTAAGAAGAGATCCAGAATAAGATTTGTATTATGTAGAGGCTGTGGAACACTAACTGAACAAGCAAATCCAAATTGCTAACAATAGTTACAATATTACAATATGATAGAATTAGTAAAAGCAGCTCAAAAGCATGCTGTGTTATTAAGCATATTTTCAAGCACTCTAAGATATTGTATGCTATGTTAATCAGACCTGCATCTGAAGTTTGCTCAAACCTGTTCCCACAGTTGAGATATCTTAAAGCAATATCACTATAAGAAATTAGTCTAAAATGTTGGAATTGCAAGGAAAGTTGTGCATCAGTCCAGTGTAATTCATTTGTTTATATTTTCCATGTGTTTCTCTCCTTAAACAGGCATTTTACTACAAAAA